TTCAGCCTGAGGCTTATTCATTTCATTTTTGGTGTGAAAAGGCTTTTATATTTGCCAAAAATAGAACTTTTTTATTTTAAAAACAAACAAGCCCTGTCCAGATTTAAAAAGTAGCGCAAAAGTAACGTAACGCATTACTTTCCATACAAAGTAACTAAGTACCGTAATTAGTTACTTTTTTATGGAGGATTGTAATGCATTACTTTTAAAAGTAACTTTCCCCAACACTGAGTAGCTTAGAGTAAAAATAAAAATAACTTATTCATGCTATTTTGCTCTAGTCCTGCAGGTGGCGGTAAACACAACAACGGGCCCGCCCGTCAATACTGAAGAAGAAGAAGAAGATAGTGTAAACCCACTTGTTTACTGTATAGCGCTAATAATTTGAAAGAAATTAATACAACAAAAATTAGTCAGACAAAGTCGCTAATTTGAAAGGAGGTAGTAAAATAGCCCTTATTCTGGTGACAAAGTCAAAATATTCCAGAGAATATTGCATCAGCAAAGCGTGAATCCCTTCATCCTCAACAGAGACGCGGTGAGCAGTTTAATATGGAAGAAGCAGGTGAGTTTCGAGAAAGACACAACGCAAAGTAGTAATGGGACAGACAGTTTGCTTGTAGCTGTGCTCTTTTGATCATCTTCCAGATTATGAAAATCATTAGATTTCCCTCTATCTATTTGATCAGTTATATGACGGGCTAAAATGTGAGCACAGGTGCATTATGGGTGACATTCAGAGAAACTGATCGAAATGTTATGTAAGCTACTTTTTCATCGGTTCCTTTATTAATGTCAATATATTCATTTGTTTTATTTATCTTTTAATACTTGACTGTAATTGTTCATTCTTTTATCGACATAAAATACGTTTAAATTATTATCAAACATATTTACATTATTAATTAGGCTCTAGATTATAAATAACATGATACCACTTTACAGTAAGGTCTCATTTCTTAACATTAGTTGATGCATTAGCTAATATGAACTAACAATGAGCAATATGTAATATATTTCAGTGAAATTTTTTACAGCATTTATGTAATTGTTTGTTGTTCGTCTTATTTCACACACTTCACAGTGCGTTAACAAATGTTAAAAGATGCACAACTTTTGATTTTGAGAATGGGTAAATGTTGAAATTAAGATAAGGTGCTATTATTTATGACTGTTATAGAAGAACTGTTCGTTGTTAGTTTGTGTAAACTGATGTAGGAAACTAATGGCAACAAGTTAAACCTTACTGTAAAGTGTTACAGAAAAAAGTATTGGTAATATGCTTTGTCTTCACATTCTCACGATGGGAGATTAATGTTGTTTACCTGCAGGCTCCGTATGGCCAAGCACTAAGATGTATCTATTTATTTATGTTTTTTTCTCAGAGCTGGTGGAATATTTCCGAGCGCAGATCCGAGAAGACCCGGATGTGGCTTCGGCGGTGGCTGCTATACGATCCCTGCTGGAGTTCCTCAAGAGGGATCAGAGTGAGTTTAGTCTGGTGTTCAGGACGCTGTTCAGGGATGTGAGATGCGCATGTGAACCGACGCTTGTCCTTCTCTAGGCGAGACGATCCTCGGCCTGCGAGAGAACATGACGAAGGCCATCCATAGACTAGAAGAGACGGATTCATCGGTGGCTGTGTCGTCTGGAGGAGAGCTCTTCCTGCGCTTCATCAGCCTCACCTCACTGGAACATCCGGTCGGTTCAGCATCGCAGGCAGTCTAGTTGCTCTTTTTAATATTACGGCTGTTTGGTGAATTAAGGTCGCGTCGTACATTCCAAGTAGGGCTGCACGATATTGAAAAAAACTCACATTGCGATATTTTTTTTTTTTTCTGCGATTTGGAAAAAAAAATCTGATGATTTCAATAGCTTTATATTTGAAAAAAAAAATCTATGATTTTGTAGGCGAGTAAATCAGCATAGGAAATAAACAAATTGCAAGCATAGATAAATAACAGAACAAAGATACAAATGAAATAAGCAGTGCTTTATATCTTTCAGGTAAGTCTAACAGTATTCAGCTACAGAAATTGACTAATCAAATGTAAAATAACACTGCGTAGTTTTCACTATAAATTAAATCTAACAAATCTGTGTTAAAGCTACAAAAGTGATTTTTCTTTGTTTTGTTGTTTGATTAACGTTCATGAACAGAGAAAGCAACAGGAACATTAAACTGCTGTGAACCAATATACTGTTACACATCCATTTTCTTTCTCAATTGTTTCCCTTTCACCTAAGCTATAAGCAACTGCGTTTACAACGATACTTGCAGAGCACAGTATTTCAGGCACAAATAGAAGCAGAAGTGAACAGAATTCAGTGTTCACGTACACTGGACGTGAGCGGCGCGGTGCCACTGGACACGAGCGGTGCGAAATCCTCGACAATAAACTGATGCCGCGTTCTCTTTATGACGTACTGACACAAAGTTCAAATGATATGCAACGGTCGCTTTGTCGCGTCAAGTGTAGACAAACTTTGGGGCCGTTCACATGTCGCGCCTTAAAACGCGTGGGAAAATGCCTGTCGCGCCGCTTTCTCCTTCTTTCCTAAGCGTTGGGAGCTTGCGCTTTCGTGGCGTCTGCCGTTGCTAAGCGACCGTGACCTGTGCTCTCCACGACGACGTGGAAGTTTTTAACAAAGGATAAACGGATTTCAAGCACTGAAAATCGCGCGCAGTAGCA